AGAAAGCAGTGTCGAGATTTAAGCAAGCTGAAACTAGAATCATTTTATGAACTTCAGCTATCGAGTCGGGGTGCAAACACTTTAAGTAACGGCAAACGCTGCAGAAAGTACCAGCTTTCCCAAGTGAACGGAAGCAATATCATTTTAGGTAGGCTGAAGTGCTAGATAACAGGAGGTTTTCCTTTTTTCTTGCAATGTTATTATTGTGCAATGATACAGATTACATCTTACAAAAGTATTTAATTTTAACGACAAATGAAAAACCGAGTGCTTCTGGAAACAGTTAACAGACGTGTTATCCTTGATATATACAAGTTATGTTGTACGGCGATAACATGTCATGCTCCAACCCAGGCGAATCACTCCCCCACATAACAGAATTAAATGAGGGAGACTGGTCGTCCAATGGCGATTGGCAAAGGCAAGACTGAAATATAATGTGCAAAGCTCCTTATAGGTTGTGGTTTAAGTTCAGTAAAAGCACTGTTTTTATCAAATTATGTCAGAGATGGACCAAAGGTAACTGCAATCGTTTTGAAGAAGATGACAAAATATCAAGAAAGATCACGAAAACTGCCTCCTCCCCCCCCCCCAAAAAAAGGGCATAAGATGGTACCATGACCACGTAAGTACTCAGGCTAGCGGTGACAAAGAGTCCTTTCGTCACAATGAATTTAATACATATTTCCAGGTATCAAATTGCAAGAAAGAGACTGCCCATTGAAGTCTTGCTCCTGCTCCGGCGATGGAATGTGCTCTGGGACGGATGAATTGGCTTGCCATTGCCCATGCTCTTCAGAACTTAGCTTCGATTACTGTACAAACGCGTTTCCCTCCAGTAGGTAGGCAAGTGGTAAAAGTGTTCACGTATATAAGATACCGTCGTTTATCATATGACCCGTCCGGCCCCACTCGTGCGATCCCAGAGGAAACCCCAGTGAAAGCTGACGCGTTAAGGGCCGGACGGGTTGACATGTGCCGGTCTGGGAAAAGCCGTCTGGGCCTAGTGCACTTGTGTGGCTTTGTTGCAAAAACATTGTTTGCTGTTGTTGCAAAAAATTAGTGACAGTAGTGAACAAAAATGAGAAAATAAGTCACGTTTCTCGATGAATTGTGAGTTCTTTGTTCTGACTCGGAAAAACAAAGGATGAAATTTTATTGTTAACCTTTTTAGTGGTTTTCCCGTGCGCGCCAGTTTATCGTATCCTATTCAGGTTAAAAAATAATTTCGAAATTTTCAAAACTTAGTGGTCGTACGATAAATGCTTCAGTTCACTGAGTAAGGTCAGGCTGTGCTGAAAAATATTTGGCTCTTAGTCAATAAGTACATAATATGACAATTTGATTATGGTTTATGGGCTACTTCTTGTGCCGGCCGTTGTCATATTGTCACTTTTTAAATAACTTTTAACAAGAACTATAGAAATTCTCGCGCGCTCATTGGTCGCGAACCATTGTCAAGAAGCTAAGGTTATTAATTTTTTTCGTCGATGCATGTGCGTGAGCGGGCGGTATTCTACAAATCCTGCAATCTGATTGGTTCCGAGAGCCGTATTCTCAGCCATCCGGCGGTTATCCTATGTGTTGCGTGTTGGGTCGCCCAGTACCTCCTTAGCCTCGTTGCAACTTTTCATTAATATATTTTATTTTGTCGACTAAGCAGCATTTATAGGCAAAGATTTTGGCTGTGCAGTGAAATATGGTTCACTAAACTGACCAATTGTAGTGCACATACTGACGGACAACAAGTTGCTCAGTAGAACTCGTACTTTTGTTGTAGGTTTCACAGGTGTACCAAACCATTGAGTTCTCTAGGCTGTTATCCTTGGTGCCATTTGCCACAGAATTTCAGTTGGAAAAAGCAATCGTGGATGTTGCTGTGCAAAATGAACTTCAAGTATGCTCTAGTCAAATGTTTCGACTGTCTATATGAAACTCTGAAACAGTGAACTGTTATAGCTAGTGGGAAGACACAGAGAGAAGATAATTATGTAGGATACTGTACTATTCAATTGTGACTCTTCGTGACCCATATATTTGGGCTGATTTATCTGGAATATGATTATGGTCTCTTTTACTTATTATGGTAACGGTAACAAATATGGGATTACTTTTACTTATGATCCAGTCATTGAAAATAACCAAAACAGTTGAATGTTTTTCATTAAAACCAGAAGAAAAAACCTTGCACAAACACTTTTTTTTTTGTTTTAAACAGGTACGCATTGATCACAGAACTAAGGCTGTCAGCTTTGGACTCGACCTGCATGTGGCCCATAAAGAGGAGGTGCCAGAAGGGCCTTATCTCCAGGTATAACTTTTCTGCATTTTTCTTAGTGAAACACGTTCTTCTGTTGAGTTACATAGGTAATCGAGTTTTGTATTGTTTACCTTTACAATGGTATTCATCAGTCCAGAAAAATTGTGCCACCTTTTTGACCAACCTAGTACAAAACTGAAACCAATCATGAATCAAGTGGGTAAGTTTCTAAAGAAACTGGGCTGCAGTGTCAGCTGGGGTAACAAGGTATTTTGGCTTTATCAACTGAGTTGATAATGAAAATTTGCCACTGTAAAGAGTTTCGATGCTAGCATTTTGAGGGCAAGATGAAAGATGATGGGCTAACACTCAAAATGTCAGCTTTTATAACTCTTTATGGTAACAACTTTACATTAGTTTTATCAGTTGATGAAACCAAAATACGTACCTTATAGTCAAACTAAGTGAAGCATACCCCTCAAGATTACATTAATGAATCGATCATTTGGATAATGAACCCGCCAGTCGTTTCAAAAATGCAATAATGAATTGATTATTTGATTATTATAACGCTAGCCGTTTCATGAATGCAATAATGGATTGATTATTTGAATATTGAACCCAATAGCCATATCCGTTTTGAAAAGGAGCGGATCATTGTTCAAATTAGAAGTCCATTTCTGAAGTCCAATAAGATTGTTTTATTTGACTGAAAATGAACAAACTGCACTGTAAAAACACTGCGAAAACATTCGATCGCAAATATCAACGAAATAAAAAAAAGTCTCGCAACCATCCGAGATAATGCAAGTTACCAGACCATCAAGGTACCTTAATTGAGTGCCGTTCCAACAGCTTTGCACCCTGAATGACACATACAAATATTCCTTCTACCCCAGAACTATCAGAACTTGGAACAATATGAACTTACCTCAAATCCCTAACTCTCTAGATGATTTCAAGGCCAATGTGTCCTTATATATTTAAAGACAGTGGAGCTTTTATTTATGCGGTGTATATTAATT